TATTAACACTCTTGCTGCAGCTATGTAAATAATCAGACCAAATCTAATGAGATTGGTTCATATTTTGAGATCAAGAATAATCTTTCTTTGAGATTATTTTTAATCAAAAGGGGAAATATTATAGAAACTTTTTCCACAGAAAACTATGTATCTTTTATAGCATGCCATTGCAAATTTGTCATATTGTAGCCCTGTTATTTCGTAACTCTTTGTAAATTGTAAATAACTGATGATATGTGAATTCTCTTGTCAGTTAATGATTTCAATTAATTTCTTCCAATGTGGAAAACACTTTGTCCCCATTTGCAATTCATCTCAACATTCCCTGACTTCCTATACATTTGTGCTATTTTGCCTTTTCTTGGAACCAGTTGTAATCAACAATGTAAAAGCATTTTATTTCTAATAGGGCATTATGTGCTTTAGATAGTTTTAAATATATATCTGTAAGTTGACTAAGAGAAAATAACTAAACAATGGACATTTTTTTTTTGCCATACTATAATACAGAAGTTAAAGATAAGGCCATTTTCATCTGCTTATAGCAATGAACAACAACATTGCCTTTATTGCACTCTAAGTCAATAAAGTTATAAACAAGAATAAGAGTAAATAAATAAACACAGTTTGGATTTGGCTGGTTTTTAGGGAGTAGATAGGAAGATTATTGTTTTATGGTTATATTGAACTTGTGTATACAGGTTATTTTAAGTTATCATTTCCTATTGGTATCTTGGCTTGATTTTCACAACAATGATCCATTGATATAAATAATGCTGTATCTATTCCAGAGTCTCAACCTTACATAGGTTAAAATAATTAAATTCTTGATTTCTATTAAAATCAAATGACCATAAAAATGAAAATTTAATTCTCCCTTTTTGTTTTCCTTTTAAAATCACTCTAATTGGAAGACATGAAGATTTAGAATGTCACCAACAAGAATTATGCCATAGCACTTGAAAGGCAAAAGTGGATAGTTTAAAGGTAAAAGTAAGTAGTTAGTTTTAAGTAGTAACTTATGAAACATATTATACTATGTTGATATCTTAGAGCCTTTGATATCTTAGAGCCTAATAGGCATAACAGGCACATCTTAAAGAAATCTCTTGGTCGCTCTTTGGCCACTAGAATGCCTCTTGGTTTTTAAGCCCAGACTATGTAGAACAAAATGTGTTTTAACCTTTGTCTTTGCATCCTGAGTTTGTTATTTACAAATTGTTTTTGGTTGAGGGCTTTGGGATGAAATATGTCATTTTAAATTGTAATAAATAGGCTCCTGGTTAACATTGTTGCATCAAAGTCTGGCTTTTAGGAATGGATCACTGACACCAGGTAGAAGATATCTGTAATTAAATCCTATATTTGGACTACTCTCCAGCCTTTACAGGTGGAGAAATTGCATCCCAGAAATATTAAGTGGAATTTTCCAATAAATGTTAATCATCATGAGTCAGTAAAGCTATTGAAATATATAAATTGAAGAAGTAGCTTTTTTTCAGAGATTATGAGAGAAAAGGGTAAAATTACACTACTTATTTTGATATTATTATTGTTATTAATGCTTTCAAGATTTGAAGGTTTACCGTGAGATTTCTAGATATAGTCATTCTAATTTGAATCAAAAGGTCATGTAATTAATTTGCTAGATAAAGCAGAGGTTCCTAAAATTAAATAGTTAATTAATTTGGGGGTGGTGGTTGGGGAAAGAACAGCAGAAACCTGAATATCCTGCATTTTAGAATTAGTGACATAGGACCAAAACGAATTCCATGGCAACGCTCATTGTGTGTGGTAAATGCAATACAGATAAACTTATTTATGGATCCACTGGGAACACATCATAAAATGATGATCACTTAAAATTGGAATAATAAAATAAATCTCTGTTCCCTTTGGCAATGATTTCTACTAATAGCAGTTCACCCATGTGGCAATTTCCTGATTCAGCGTTTACATATAAATACATCCTGAGATTCTTCTGGCAGTAATGATTTTTTTTTTTCTGTGTGTTAATTTCTTTTGATGCTCTTTCTTTTCAAACTTCTTTTGCCATTGTCATCTCTCCTCCTCAACTAATTCCATCAGGACATTAAAATACATTATCTAACAGACAAAATGGCAGCTACTTTCTAATTAGCTGAATGTGAACTAGAAACATAGCTTTATTATTTAGAAAAATGAACAAGAGATTGGTTTGTATAAATTGAAATGTATCTTATTAGAATAGCCCCAAATTGTAGCTAAACTCAGAACAGGTGAGATAGTTATTCAATAGCTTGCAGTGGTTTTAGCCTTTTAAATAACATATGATAAACTTAGAGAAGTTTCAGAAGAAAGTAAAGTATTTTACATTTTGAAGAGGAGAAAGGAGAAAAAACAATGTAAAGTAATGACTTGCAGAAGAATACAGTTTAGGAATATAGAAAAGGCTACAAGCTTGTCTTCATGCTTCTTAAGAAAGACTGGGGCTTCATAGTTATCTTTATAGTTTTAGGCAATAAGTTGATATATAACAAAAGAAAAAGTCTTAAATTTTTAAAATTAATTTAACTAAAGTTCCCAAGATTGTGCATTATTGGGCAGGATTCTCTCAGATTAATAATTGTCCATTTATTGTTTTTCACTGGATACATATCAATCTTGTTTGTTTGAATTCATGCCATGATATTTTTTAGACTATGCTTACCTCCCTCTATTCATGCTTTTAAGTAATCTATAAATAATGACTGTAAAATTTATCTTCTGTTAATTTTTTTAAGTTATCTTCATGATCTCAGTTTATTTTATCACTATCTTTCATCATCTGGATTTCTATGAAGACGAATAAATCTTAAGACAAACATATCATTAAACAAGTCGATTAAAGTAACTAACAAAATCCAAACTACTTGATACTTTAGTAACATAGCTAAATTATTAGTCAAGATTTCAGGTCACAATGACATGTCAAACAACTTGTTTAAGAATCCCAATAACATGCCTGCAGGAATCAGTATTTAAAATAAATGAAAGTAAATGTCAATATAACTATGAGCAGTAATTATGTGGCTTTAGTTAGCTACTTATTGAATTGATCATTTAAGCAGAAGACCACAAAACATCTAAATTGCAGTAATACTTTTTCATTCCTTCCTCTTTGGATATACTGGAGGTTCTAGCAAGATGTTGAAACAGTCATAGCTGCACTATCTTAATGCCATGCCTGCGTTCATGTTTTTTACTTTCTTCTTAAAATAGTTTGGAACGTTTCTCAGCATTATGAAATGTCATCCAACACATCTACAAAGTGTGACAAACATCTGTGATTCCTCATGTCTTTCATACGTGCTAAGACTATATTTCCTACTTGGAGAAAGTGGCTCTCTGTGAAGCACTGGGATATTATAACATTACTGTTACATTATTTAAAATGGTTCATTACTTTTGCTTTGTTCATGAGGGAACTGGAAACCAGTAATTATACAAATATACCACCGATACGTTATCCTAGACCTGCATGTAAATGGCAGTTTGTTAATTTCACAAGGTGCTGGGGGGTGTTCAGTTACTGGTTTATTACAAAGACATTAAAGTTAAGTGAACTCAGATACATATAACAGCCTCCCCATAGCCTCATTTGGTTCTGATGTGGTATAGTGAAACACATTCATTTAATTCCATTTCAAATATGTTAGCTAAAGTAGAGGGAAAATAAAGAAAATGGAATGTACCTTAAGTGGTCTACTTAACATTCTTACTCTAGTTAAATATATATTTGGTGTGAAATGGCAAGCAATTAGGACAAAAACTGATTCTTAAACTAAATATGAATAAGCTGAGTTATAAACTAACTCAATTCACATCTCCTTTCTGGATACTCTCCAAAAGATTGACAAATGGCTGAGCTATCATTTTGTACAGATATGTCCATTACTCTTTGCTTGGTAAGACCAAACAAGCTAAAGACGATAGCTAAAAATATTGAAGAGCTGAAATACTGGTTATTATAGCATGTTTGTTAGTGAGAAATCAATTTACCACCCTAAAATAATAATCAGTTACATAAATCTTTGTATAGACTAAAGAACTTTTCCTACAAAAGTATTGATTGACTTTTAAAACTATAATCTGCATATACTCCAGACAAAGAATAGTGAAGAAATCCTTAAATTATATCGACCATGATTGCCCTCTGCTGCCAAACCTGACAGTCATTGATAGCTTCTCTAATTTCAAGGCTGTCAAATTCATTAAATGACAACATGGCTGAATGCTTTTCCAATGATCACAACACCATCTGTTTAAATTATGACCTATGATCTTTTGGAAAAATTTAGAACTTGAATATTAAATATGATGAAAGCAGTTTATCTCTGATGCACATACTTTATTTATAATAATTTTGAGTTATATGACAATTTCATAACTATTAGCTGTGGGAAATTACCTTAACACAAACAGATGGAAATGCTCATTATATTCACTAATGTTTCAAATTTTAACTACCAATGTGTATGTACATATATATTTTTTTATATAAATCTAATATATTCCATTCAGTTATTTTTACTTAACTTTTAAAGTAGATTGCTTTCAATTATCTCTTGAATAACAAAGTCATGTCTAATTATCTGGAAATTTGACTCTAAAAAAATCGTTGATGCCTCTAGCAAAGAATATTAGCTTCGCTTACATGGATTTTTTTAGCTTTATAAAGACAGACTTTCCAAATTTACTATAATATCTGTAACAGCCTTTACAATGGATGTTTAGACTTCATAAAAATAAACAGTCATATTATATATGGGAATTTCTACATGAGAATAGGCACTTCCGGTACAAAAAAGTACATTGATCAGTACTTTTCTGAGCCATTGGAGCAAAGATAGAAGTTTGCTGAAATTCTGCTGTTGCTATGACCTAAAGTCAGGGCCATAAAGGGTTTATCAAATAGAATATTTCTTACGTTCTAAGATATCCATTTTGTTTTTACATTTTGGCATCTGTAAAATCAGGCTACATCTCCCAATTTACAGGGCATCATAGTTTAATCAGTTGTATGTGGGTTTTTTGATTTTGTTTTTTACTGATAGATAAAAAATGATGTAAGTAATTTCCCCTTATTTGTGGTTTCACTTTCCCTCGTTTCAGCTATTCTCAGTCAACTGTCATCTGAAAATAGGAGAGTACAGTATAATAAACTATTTTGAGAGAGAGAAGGATAGCATACTCATGTAGCTTTTATTATAGTGTGTTGTTATAATAGTTCTATTTTATTGGTAGTAATAGTTATTCATCTCTTACTGTGCCTAATTTTTATAAATTTAACTTTATCATAGATATGTATGTATAGAAAGAATGTATACACAGGGTTTGATAATATCCATGGTTTCAGGCATCCATTGGGTGTCTTGGAATGTTATCTTTCTCAGATAAGGGGGGAACTTCTGTAATTTTTTTTTTTTTTTTGAGATTTTACCAAGAAAAAACTTCTGTATCTTAAATTGATGCTGTCTTTGTCTCTAGGAAATAAAATAGTGCATGATGGGAGATAACAAAGAGGAAACTTATAAATTACTTCTGTGTAGTTTGTTAGTTTGCTTGGAGTTAGTGCTACATATTCAAATGCTTCCTAGTCAGATATTAATAAACATTGGTCCCTGAGACTAAAGTCAATAAATTTGCATTCTGTTTGTTGGATTACCAACCGGTAGCTTACAGTTGAAATTTAAATTTGGGCTATCTTTTTCTTCTACTGTCTTTTCTTAAACAAATATGTATTCAGAAAATAATCAGTAGCAAAATGTATTTAGGAACCAGCTGCAGGAAGGGTTTATGACTACTAATTTGTGATTGAAAAGATTCTTCAAAAATTGAACTACTCTATTTTAAAGTATAAATAGATAAACACTAAATACAAAAGAACATAGTTCATATTCTGTGTTTAGACACATACAAATATTTTTTTCTAGATTTTAAGAAAGTACAAATTGGCTAAAGATAAATATGCTGAGATTTAGAAACTATAAAATTATTTTCCCAAATCTTTATCCTGACTTGGTCAAGATTTTAAAGGCATAGCTTTTAGTGACTGAGTGATTTGGTTTCCACATCTTGACAAATAAAGTATCCATTTTATTCAATTTTTTTTCCAGAGAACAAGCAGAAGAAAGAACTTGAAAGAAGGTTTTTTTGTTTGTTTATTTGAAATCTCTGTGCCCTGGAGTTCTTTGTATTCTTAACACTAGTGGGTGTAGGACAGCCCAGACAACAAAGTGTTAATGTGTGAGGGTGAAGGGGATAGCAATAGTGAGGCAGAAAAATGATAAAGAGCAGCAAGAATAATATTTAAGATAGATTTAAAATAAAAAGAAATTGCCTCAATATAATGCCTTGTAACCAGATGAGTGAAGTAAGGGCAAGCAATGATTCTTCTATATTGTGCAATTACATATTCCATGTGAACACTATTAAATTATAAGTAAGCCTTAAATTTCAGGTTCTGTTGGGTGTTTCTTGTTGTTGATACATATTTGGTCTGTGATTAAAATTGTCATGTGTTTGTATGCCCTTCCATCTGTGAGTGTTTTGTTTACGTGTGAGGATCCTAGAGGGTATAGACTATGTTTGTTTTAAATTAATTTTATTTCCATCTATGTTGAAATGCATAGTTATCATCACATATTTATCCTGTTAATGAGAATGCTATAAACCCAATGAGGGATCCAAAATGAAACATATGATAGGTAAAGCATTCATAGTTTCAGTTTTTCATAATGTGTGACTTTCATTTTCTCAGTCTATTGTGATAGGCAACATGATATTTTTAAAGGGCCATTTTAAATTCCTTTGCAAAGCAATCCTAATTTGGTTGTTTTTTCTGCTTCTATTTCACTCTTGACTTACTTTTCCAATATTTGTGGGTTTTTTTTTTTAACAGACTTTATTTTTTAGAGCAGTTTTAAGTTCACAGCAAAATTGAGTAGAGGTACAGAGATTTCCCATGCACCACCTGCCCCAACTCATGCATAACTCTCCTCATTAACAACATCCTCCACCAGAGTGGTACTTTTGTCCCAACAGAGGACTCTGCATTGTTACCTCATCACCCAGAGTCCATAGTTTGGATTAGAGTTCACTCACTCCTGGTGTTATATAGTCTTTGGGTTTGGGCAAACGTGTAATGACATCTATCTACCCATCATTTTATTATCACACAGAGTAATGTCCTCAAATTCTCTGTACTTCTCCTACTCATCAGTACCTCTCCACTAACCCATGGAAAACTCTGATCTTTCTACTATGTTCATAGTTTTACCTTTTCTAAAATGTTATATAGTCTGAATCATACAATATGTAGCCTTTTCAGATTGGCTTCTTTCACTTACTGACGTGTTTAAGTTGCTCCATGTCTTTTTATAGCTTGGAAGATTATTTCTTTTTATCCCTGAGTAAAATTTTATTGTATGGTTGTACCATAGTTTATTTATCCATTCACCCACTGAAAGCCATCTTAGTTGCTTTCAAGTTTTGACAATCAAGTAAAGCCGCTAGAAGATTCTCATGCAGGTTTTTGTTTATATATGAGTTTGTGACTCTTTGGAGTAAAATTGAAGGAGTACAATTGTTGGATTATATGGTCAGAGTATGTTTAATTTTGTAAGAAATCAGCCAACAGTCTTCCAAAGAGACTACCATTTTACATTCCCAGGATTAATGAATTAGGGTTTTCATTTCTCTATATTCTCACCAGCATTTGGTGTTATCAACAAACTTGGTGTTGTTTTGGATTTTGGCCATTCTAGTGTGTGTGTAGTGCTATCTCATCATTTTAATCTGCATTTCCCTGATGACTTATGACACAGAACATCATTTCATGTGCTTAATTGCTGCTATCTGTACATCTTTAATGTGATGTGTCTTAGGGTATTTAGCCCATTTTTTAATTAGGAGTTTTGTTTTCTTATTTTTGAGTTTTAAAAGGGGTTTTGGGGTATATTTTGGGTAATAGTCTTTTATCAAATGTACTAGTTTTCTTTCTCTCAGTTTGTGGCTTGTCTTTTCATTCTCTTGAAAAAAGAAAAAGTTTTTAAGTTTAATGAAATCCAGATCATCAATTATATGTTTCATGGATGTGCCTTTGATATTGTATCTTAAAAACATCATTGCCTTAACACAAGGTCATCTAGATTTTTCCATATGTTATCCTCTAGGAGTTTTATAGTTTTGTTTATTTACATTTCGATCTATGGTCCATTTTGAGTTAATTTTTGTAAAGGGTGTAGAGTCTGTGTTTAGATTCTTTATTCTTTTTTTTTTTTTTGATAGATGGATGTCCAGTTTTTCCAACACCATTTGTTCAAAAAACTATCTTTGCTCCATTTTATTGCCATTGCTCCTTTGTCAAAGATCAGTTGCCTATATTTATATGAATGTATCTGGGTTATCTATTCTGTTCCATTGACCTATTTGTCTATACTTTCATCAATACTGCACTATCTTGATTACTATATGGTAGGTCTTGAAGTCAGGTGGTGTCAGTCTTTAAACTTTATCCTTTTCCTTCTAATATTGAGTTGGCTATCTCTCCATATAAACTTACTAAATAACCTGCTGGGGATTTTGACTAGGATTTGATTTAATAAGTTTTTCCTGCTTGCATGCCATATTATAATAAATATTTTCTCCAACTTTAAAAATTTAGATCTCCTTTGTAAGAAAAAATATCTCTGAGATACTCAGAGTTGATAACTATTTTATTAAGAACTTATGTAAATGTATATGCAAATATAAAACTAGATTTAAAGTCCTTATATTATAGCCATTATGGAACTATAAGACAAAAAATTGTTTACAAATGAAATATAAATAAGATTCTAAAACCAATAAAATAAAAACAAAACCATTAATGCGATGAGATTTTGCTAATTTGAAGTAGGAAGATACAGCATGAAATGTTGTTTTAAATTTATTCCATATTTTTTTTAAGTTAAGTATTATTAATGGAGGAAGTGCCTGTTAACATAATGTATGGAATTAATTAGTACTTTAAAACTTGTCTGCTGGTTTAGATTAAATAAACTTCATAATTAATGAGGTATCTTTCAAGACCTCTGACTTTTTGCAGTTTTGAAGATAAAAGGTTACCATTGTAGGTAATTTTTTTATTTTTATTTTTATTTTGAGACAGAGTCTCACTCTGTTGCCCAGGCTAGAGTGCCATGGTTTCAGCCTAACTCACAGCAACCTCAAACTCCTGGGCTTAAGCAATCCTCCTGCCTCAGCCTCCCGAGTAGCTGGGACTACAGGCATGTGCCACCATACCCAGCTAATTTTTTCTATTTATTTTTACTTGTCCAGCTAATTATTTTCTATTTTTAGTAGAAACAGGGTCTTGCCCTTTCTCAGGCTGATCTTGAACTCCTGACCTCAAGCCATCCTCCTGCCTTGGCCTCCCAGAGTGCTAGGATTACAGGCATGAGCCACCACACCTGGCCTCATTGTCTGTTATTGAAATGTATGTTAAAAATCTAATCTAACACAATTAAAATTGGAGTCTGAAACAGAGGCTGTATTCTTTGTCTGTATGTACTACAGAATTCTTACTACTAGTGTACACTTTCAAACTCATATGTCCAAAGATAGGCTCTGAGAATATTTATGGAACAAGGTCTCTTGGGTGTGGCACACCATTACTAGTATGATCAGCCAGTCATGTGTTCATTTTGCTAGTAGCTTTCTTTAATGAAATTACTCTGAAACTTTGTTTCATAAAAAGCAAAATGACATCATTTTGACATTGTGTGACAGCAGTGATTAGAAGCACATACATAAATGTAAGCACTGAGTCATATGGTGGTACTAGGTTATAACAGTGATTATTCGATGATCCAGCTTATACTAAAATTAATTTTTTGTAAGGTTTCACCAAATAGAAATTTCAAAGTGAACAATATCTATATCTCTACGTCTACATCTTGAGACATCTGAGATTATATTTGAGAACACAGTTTGAGAAACATTGGAATAGTAGGAAAAATTCCAATCTAGTCCTGCATCTCTTATGAGGTAAGAAAACTTTTGTAGTTCACTTTCTGTCTGAATTTCCTCATCTATTAACTGAGGATTTATTTATTTATTTTTATTTTTTTATTTCAGCATATTATAGGGGTACAAATATTTAGGTTACATATGTTGCCTTTGCCCCACCTGAGTTAGAGCTTCAAGGGTGTCCATCCCCCAGATGGTGTGCCCTGCAACCATTAGGTGTGAATATACACCCATTCTACTGAGTGAAATATCACAAGAACGGAAAAGCAAGCACCATTTATTTGTACTCAACATCAAATTGGTATTAACTGACTTAACTGACCAACACTTAAGTGCACTAATAATATAGTAGTAACATTTATCAGGTATCTGGCAGGTGGGAGCGGGGAGAGGAGGATGTGCATATTAACTGAGGATTTAATTTGAAGCTTTCATTTAGGACTAAAATGCTGTGATTCCTTGCATATCACTCAAACTAACCCCTTAATGTTTTAGATATATATCTAATGTTTTAAATATAAAATAATTAATTAGAAAACAAACATTAATTTACCATGTTTTCATATAATACAAATGCAATTCAGTTTATTGTATTGCTCCATTTTAATGTATAATTTGAAGTATAAATTTATGTTTTAATGTACATTTAATACACATCTAGACAATTTAAAGTATAAATTTATATGCATGTTTCATTATTAATGTAGATTTTATAAACTTAACTTCTATGTAGTAGAACCCCTGTGCAATGACATCAAGATAATATTTACAAGGAACCCATAAAAATACTCCCTAGATACCTTGAACTTCTATATTTATTAACTTTGTGAACATGGACATTCCTGCCCATGTAAATTTCAGAATACTTTATTAAAAATAGAATTAATAATACCTATTCTACTTACCTTGTAGGAATACAAAACAGATGTTTTGTAAATTGAAAATCCTTATGTAAATGTAACAAACTGTAGCCTTTGTTCTCATTGCCATGGATAATTTCTTACACATTATAATCTGAGCTGATTCTATTACATTCCACCCATTAGAGGGCAGTAACATCACATTCTCACAGAGTGTTACCTCCACATAGAGAGGATAGGGCAGTCTCCACCACACATGTAATCTCCTGAAATGTTATGCATAAATTGATTATTTAATGATTGTAAGATACTTCCCTTAGAACTATCATTATGCTCGGTGATGAAGTGCCTACGTCAGAGTGCAAAAATGTTGCTGAAGCTAATATGCAGCTGAAGTAGCGTGTCAATACCTTTGTAAGACTTAGTTTGTTTCTATGAGGAAAACCTAGGTTTCTAAATTGTGGAAGGGGAAAGAGATCCATGGTCCTGTCCTGCAGTGAGTTTTAGGACTCTCTCTTATTTCTAGTTCAGGGAAAGAAGGTGAAAGGTATGCATAGACCTCCATTGACTACGGCCTTTTCTTTTTTCCTGTTATCTCTTTTAATTGAACCGCTTTTTTTTTTTCAGCCAGAACTTTTACTTCCATTTATTTATTAACACTCTAAGACTTTGTAACTTCACAGCTTCACTGTGTTCTTATTCTGTGAGTAATTCTAAAAGCTAACTGATTACAATAAGTCTTTGACACTTGCTTACATAATTAAGTTATCCGATTTTTTGCTAATTTTTTGTTGTGGTAAAATATACATGATGTAACATTTACACCTTATCATTTTTGAGTACTTAAGTAGTATTTAAGTAGTATTACTCAGTAGAATATACTTAGTACTTAATACTACTTGATAATCAGTAGTATTAAGCATATTCCTATTGTGCATCCAATCATCACCATCCATTTCCAGAACTCTTTTTCTCTTGTGAAACAGAATCTCCATACTAATGAAACAATCAATCCCCATTGTCTCTTGTCCCCAGTCTCTGACAAGCACCATTCTATATTCCATCTGTGATTCTGACTACTCTCAGTATCTCATTTAAGTAGAATCTTACAGTGTTTTCTTTTGGTCACTGGCTTATTTCATTTAGTACAATGTCCTCAAGTTTCATCCATGTTGTAGCATATGTCAGAATGTCCTTCCTTTTTCAGGATATATGATATTCCATTGCATGTATATATCACATTTTGCTTATCCATTTATCTGTCAGTGGACACTTGTGTTGCTTCCATGTTTTAGCTATTGTGAATAATGCTATTAATACTCTGAACACAGATGTACAAATATCTCTTTAAGACCCTGATTTCAATTCACTGGGGAACATACCCAGAAGTGGAATTCTGGATCATATGGTAATTCTATTTTTAATTTTTTGAGATATTACCATATTGCTTTCAGAGAAACTTTATCATTTTACTTTTCCACCAACAGTGTACAAGGGTTCCAATTTCTCTGCATTTTCATCAATATTGGTTATTTTTTATTGCAGTCATCCTAATAAATATGAAGTAGTATCTCTTTGTAGTTTTGATTTGGGTTTTCCTAATAATTAGTGATATTGAGTATCTTTTCAACTGCTTATTGGGCATTTATACATTTTCTTTGGAGAAATATCTATCAAGTCTTTTCCTCATTTTTGAAATGTGTTCTTTTTGTTTGTTCTCAGTCTTAAGAGTTCTCTGTATATTCTGTATATTAATCCTTTATCACTTATATGATTTGAAAATATTTTCTCCCATTCTTTGGGTTGCCTTTAACTCTGCCGATAGTATCTTTAGAGGCATATATTTTAAAAATTTTTATGAAGTCCAATTTGTCTATCTTTCTCTTTTGTTGCCTGTGCCTTTGGTGCCATATCCAAGAAGTCCTTGTCAAATACACTGTCATGAAAATTTTGGTCTCTGTTTTTTCTAAGGGTGTTATAATTTTATATGTTAAATTTTGGTCATGGATTCATTTTTAGTTAATTTTTGTATCTGGTGTTAGCTAAGGATCCTGCTTCATTCACTTATATGTGGATTATCCAGCTTTTCCTGTGCTATTTGCTCAAAAGACTGCCTTATTCCCATTCAATGGAGTTGGCACTCTGTGAAAAATCATTTGACTATCTATGGGAGGGTTTATTTCTGGACTCTCTAGTCTATTCCATTGGTCTATATGTCTGTCTTTATGCCAATACCACACTGTTTTAATTACTATAGCTTTGTAGTAAGTTTTGAAGTTAGGAAGTGAGTCCTCCAACTTTGTTTTTCTTTTTCAGGATTATTTTAGTTATTTAGGGTCCCTCAAGATTTCCTATGAATTTTAGGAAGTGGTTCTATTCCTACAAAAAAATCACTGGGATTTTGATAGGGATTGCATTGAATCTGTAGATTGCTTTAGGTATTTTTTATATCTTGGCAATATTAAGTTTTGCAGTTCATTAACGTGGATGTCTTTCCATTTGTTTGTGTCTTCTTTAGTTTTGTCTATCAGTGTTTTGGGTTTTCGTTTTATAAGTCATTCACCTCTTTGGTTAAGTTTATTCCTAAATAGAGTCATGTGTTGCTTGATGAACTTAATGTATTCTGAGAAATGTGTCAGTAGGTGATTTTGTCATTGTGTGAACATCTCAGAATATGCTTACACAAACCTAGATGGAATAGCCTACTACAACTACACACCTACAATATATGGTATAGCCTGTTACTCCTAGGCTACAAATCTGTATAGCATGTCAGTGTACTGAACATTGTGGGTATGTCATATATGGCCATTATTATGCCAAGTTATGCTTTTTTTATGTCTAGTTTGTTGAGAGTTTTTATCATGAAGGATGTTGAGTTTTATCAAATGCTTATTCTGTATCTATTGAGATGATCATAAGGTTTCCATCCTTCATTCTGCAGATGTGAGGTATCATGTTTACTGATTTGTGTAGGTTGAACCATCCTTGCACCTGTGGGATAAATGTCATTTGGTCATGGTGTATCTCTTTTTGATGTGCTGTTAGATTCAGTTTGCTAGCATTTTGTTAAGGATTTTTGCATCTATGTTCATCAAGGATATTGGCTTATAGTTGTCTTTTTCTGTTGTTGTTGTGTCTTTTTGGTTTGGTATCAGGATAATGCTGTCCTCATAGAATGACTTAGGGAGTTTTCTCTCCTCATAAATTTTTTGAATGGTTTGAGGAGAATTGGTGTCAATTTTTTTTGTAAGTTTGGTAGAATTTGGCAGTGAAGCTACCTAGTCTTGGACTTTTCTTTGTTGGGAGACTCTTTATTACTGATTCAATCTCATTACTTCTGATTGGGCTGTTCAAGGTTTTTGTTTCTTTCAGATCCAATCTTGGTAGGTTGTATGTGTCCAGGAATTTATCCATTTCCTTTCCATTTTCCAGTTTGTTAGTATATAGCTGTTCATAATAGTCTCTGAGGATCTTTTGTATTTCTGTGATATCCATTATAATGTCTTCTTTTTTGTTTCTGATTTTGTTTGGGTCTTCTCTCTTTGTTCCTAGTTAGTCTAGCTGGTAGTTTATCGATTTTGTTTATCTTTTTAAAAACACAAGTTTTTTGTTTTGTTCGTACTTTGTATTGTCTTGCTACTGTTTCATTTAGTTCTACATTGATCTTTAGTATTTCTCTTCTACTAATTTTAGGTTTGGTTTATTTTTGCTTTTGTAGTTCTTTGAGGTGCATATTTAGATTGTTTGAAATCTTTCTACTTTTAAAAAATATTTATTTATTTATTTTATTTCAAAATATTAATGGGTTACAAACGTTTTAGGTTATATGGGTCACTTTTGTAATGCTTGAGTCCCAGCTACAGGTGTGCCCATCACCCATATAGTGTTCACTGTACCTGTTAGGTAGGTTTTTACCCCTCCCTTTTTCCCCCCTCCCACTTGGCTGATTTCCACTGAGTTTTACTTCCCTCTGTACACATGTGAGCTCTTAAGTTAGTTTCAATTTAATGGTGAGTACATGTGGTGTTAGTTTTTCCATTCTTGAGATACTTCACTTAGGCGACTGATCTCCAGTTCCATCCAGATTTTTGCAAAAGGTATTAATTCATCTTTTTAGATGTAGGCCTTTATTGCTGTAAACTTCCCTCCTTGTATTGTTTTTCCCATATCCCATAGGTTTTGTTATGTGGTATTTTGTTTTTCATTTATTTCCAGAAATATTTTGATTTCCTCCTTAATTTCCCCCTTTACCCAATGGTCATTCAGGAACATTTCATTTAATTTGCAAATATTTGCATACTTTCCCAAGTTCCTCTTGCTATTAATACCTAGTTTTATTCCATTGTGATCTGAGAAGATACTTGATATAATTTTTATTTTTTAAAATTTTTTGAGACTTGTTTTGTGTTCTAATATTTGGTCTATCCTTTAGAATATTTTATGTGCTGATGAGAAGAATGTGTAACCTGCAGCTGTTGGATGGAGCATTCTGTAAGTGTCTATTAGGTTCATTTAGTCTAAACTACAGTTTAAATACAATATTTCTTTATTAATTTTCTGTCTAGATAATCTGTATAAGGCTGAAATTGGGGTGTTGAAGTCCCCCACTATTATTTTATTGTAGTCTATTTCCCTCTTTAGATCTAATAATATTTGCTTTATATTTCTGTATGCTGCTAAGGGCAGTGAAGTTGCTGCCAGTGGCTTGCACTTTGGTTGGCCCCAATACTGGCTGCATGCTAGGGAGTCTGTTGTAGAGGTGTGTGAAAAAGTGCAGCAGGTTCACTGTAGGGGGCAAGAGCTGGCAGCTGTGTGTGCAGGATTTATCAATGGGGCCACAGGGATGTGGAGACGAAGGGGATGTAGTTCCCAGGGAAGCATGCAATGTGGTGGGAGTTGGGCTCTCAAAATGGCATAGTGCTGTAGCTGCTTAGGACTCAGGTGGTGTGTGAAACCGGTGTGAGCTTCCTTTCTGGATCAATGCTATCACACAGTCTCCAGGCAGTTCCCTATGTTAGTCTCAGGGCCCCCAAGGGTCGAAGGGCTCTCTTGTGGCTGGGATTGAAGGAGTCATCAGTGGGAATGTGGACCACTGGGGCTCTCTCACTTACCCTTTCCCCATATTGGGAAGCTCTCCAGAGTCCCAGTTGATCCTGGCCAAGAAAACTGTCTTGCTTCCCTCTTCTTCCTTGCTTTAGGTATTTTCTGTCACTTTTCTGTTGAGAACCCCAGTGTTCTCTCAGCTGATTTCTTCAAAGTATGATTCTCTACTGGCCATTTTGGTTCTTCTTGGTGGTGGATGGTTAGAGGATGGCCTCTAATCATCCATCTTAAAGCCCTTCCAATATTCTGATTTTAGATTATGGTTGAGGTATATGACTTCTAAATATCATATTTAGAATGGCATTTGCTTATTTAATTTTAGAATACTTATTTTGTGTAAATCTTTTCTATATTATTTCTTCATGTTTTAGAAGAACCCTAAATAATGTTCAATATTCAATATCTAATATCTAATGCACACCCATCCTTTTTAAGGACCATATTAACAGATATTACATACAAAGTTCATTATAGAAGTATAATAGTTATATTGTAAAGAAATAAAAAGGATACGTATTAAATAATATAGCTAGGAAAGTGTGAAACAATTGGCTAATAGCAAGGAGGAAATGAAATGAAAAGGACAGACAGGGAAAGATGCTGCCAGAAAGTAGATGATTGGGTTATGTTTATTGAATGTTACAACCTTTCATTGCCCTTCATTCTATTCTAAAGTCCAAAAAAATAATTATTTTCAAAATTAAATGGACTTTGAAAAAAAACCATCGAGGAATTTATACAATTATATATGCCCTTAAAAAAATTGAGTCAACTATATTTGTATTCATCTGTTTCACTTCCTTGATGTGAAAAGTGATTTGAAAAATATATGTCACATTGCACTAGTAATCTCTCCAGCGCATTACTATATGTTGGGAGATTGTTTAGATAGTGGCTGTTGACAACCTCTTCCTGAATGTCTAAATGATTCTCCAATGGAAAATGACTAAAAAATAAACATTCTCTTTTTTGAGAATGTGGAAAAAATAAACTCCTTCATATACTTTAAAATGGAAATATGTCTATTATCTAAATAGATTGAAACCAAAGATGATTTTTTAAATCTTCCTTTTTTTGTTTGCTTTGAATTCTTTAATGTTAAATGATCTATTGGATACCCATTAAATCTTGATCTCTGTGATAATTTTTTCCTGAAAACTAACATTGGTTACTATTTATTCACTCAATTCATTCAGCAACCAAGTCCATTTTAAATGACTTGGTTTTCACTGATTATACAGAAATCAGCCATCCATGGTTACTATTTTATCTGAACCCATACTCTACAGGGTCAGATAAAAATGAAAACAAATAATAATGGAAATATGAAAAGTTCCAGACTACATACACATAGTGTTGAAGTATTAATTGAGCTCAAGAAGCTACTCCATACGCTCTTGGATAATTGAAAAGAACTTCACAGATGAGTGGATACAGAAGCTGAGTCCCGAATAACATAAGTTTTCCAGATGTGCTTTTGAGGGGAGGCGAGTTGTAGTCCTCTAGCTTTATTTTCAAACCAAAGGTGTCCTTTGGATTTTCTCCTGCTGTTTTTCATTACCGATAGCACAGTTGACCTGATCAATTGTGAATATAAATAAACTCTCTTACAGAAGGTAAAGGAAGAGCAGCTATGTGGTGTGTACAATGGAGATGTCCACTTGAAGAGATCTTTTTCAGTGCTTCAATAGTAATTTCATATTTCCCCATGTGAGAACACAGATGAAGACTTTTTTCATTGTCTCAGTTCCATTTTAAACACATAACCATGGACCAGTTACTGGTGTTACGCTGTTTCTGTCATACATCTACTCCTCTATTCCTATTTCTATCTTGAGATATGTACTTAGTAAATGTAGAAAAAAAAATACTGTAATTGAAACTTTGAGCATCCTAAAAATGAGATTTATTGAGCAAATAGTGCCGTGGTGTGCAAATACAGTCCACACAGTATCAGGCATCAAGTGTTTAAACAATTATCTGTCCCATTTATTATTAATTTCATAGACAATATTGGGACATGAAGGTAATAGGAAAAATGTTAGTGTTACTCTAAAGATATGATGGTGTCACCAACCGTCTGCTTTAAGAGGAAATGTTTCAGTTCAAATTGCAAGGAAGAAAAACTTTCTAATGGGGGGGTTTCAAAACCTACATTTTTGTTTTGTCACAGTATAGAGAAAATTATGATATCCTAGGAAAATTAGAGTTCTAAGACATTAAGGACACAAAGATCAGATCAGATATACAGACAGATGTAGGCTTTTTGACAGCAAAAGCCACTTCTTTGTACATTGACATGGAGAAAACCAAAAGCTGACTGTAGGTATCAACCAATTCTTAAAGAAATATCAGTAAACAGGAGTTATAACACATTAAGAAGACTGAACCAGAGGATAGGAATCTACAGTTAAAGACATTTCCTTGATTATTTCCATATCAGATTACATGGGTTTTCTAAATTTGTATATTAGGAAGATTACAATGTTCTGTAAATCTATAATTATCTCCTAAGTATCATATTTTCCAATGATCAGTAATAGCATATTTGTATTTCTATTTTTCTTCTAATTTTTGGCCAAAAATTTTAGCACAAATATCCAAGTTTGGCATATTTAATATACTCATAACTGGAAAATATGCACAAATCACGAACGAAGGATTCAATTAATTTTCACAAAATGAACACACCTTTGTAGCCTGCATCCTGATCAAGAAATATAACATTAACAGCACCTTGGAAACCTCTCTCATGTGCCTTTCAAGTCACCACACTTTTTTTCAAGGGTAGTTGTTATAATTATTGTAACATCATAGATTAATTTTCCATGTATATGAATTTGATATAATGAAATCATGTGGTATTACGCTGTGCACTTGACTCCTTTTATTCAATGCTACCTTTATGAGATTCATCCATGTTTTGGTATATATAAATTCATAATATCTTTTTAACTTCATTAACTTTCTAATAAATATGTCTTTTCCTTGTAGAACTCAATGTCAATACAAGTAGAAGCATCTCTTTCTGTGCATTGCATAAAGTCAATGGTTTAAAAAGAAAAAGAGATAAATAAAGACTTGAGATATATTGTCTTGAGGTAAAATACTACTATTAGTTCTAATAATAAGTTGTTGGTTAATATTTTAAAATGACTCAATTTTCCTATTATTTCTGTACTTTGGCTAAATTAAGCTTTTTTATACACATCAATTTTCTCTAAGTTTTATAGGAATTCTCATGTGTGAGATAATCACTTAACCTAATCCTGTAGCAATTATTTTATTTCAACTTTATCTAACATTAGCTGTTATGCTCCAAAAGAGCAAAACATTAGGTAGTTTTAATCTCTGGTACAAATTTGAGAATGACTCTTTATAAGCCTGCATGAGTTTTGGCATCCCTAGCACAGGAAAAGAATGATTTTTACTGCAACTGAGCAAAATGGTAAGCTCTGTATCAAATTGATGAAAAGCTTACCAAGTTCTCAAGAAAGCAATAAAAATTCCCAGTGCTAATAGTTTTGAAGGTCATCAAAGCACTTAAATACTCAGAAATGTAGTTCTCACCATCTCCAAACCCACTAGAATTTGTTAGCTCATATAAAGAAAACTGGTTGAACAATATTCCTTGTCACTGTAAGTTCTATTGTGCCATAGGATAGAAAACAATGGGAATTTGTGTGTTTAAAAGGAATGAATGGAAGGATATTTCCTGGAGACCATAATTCTAGGTCTAATAAGTGGTGTGTGAAAGTGATTATCAACAGTATTAGAAGAAGTAGTGTTGATATTTAAAATGTTTAATTGCATATGATTTTCATGACATTATCAAAATATGATAAATTTTGTTTGCAAGGGGGAAGTCACAAAACACTAAGAAAAATACAAATATTGATTTCATTGTGGAAAGTATTCAGATTGCCTGATTACTAAATACAGAACATTCTTTGATTTTCCTGATAATGTTAAAAGAGGAAAATCCTGAATTTGCAATAAAATTAGTAAATCCTAAGTGATGGTATAAAGAAACTAGTGTACATCTATGTCTATACTGTTTTTGCTATGTGCAAATTGTGTTGGTAGTATTTCAAATTAGAGATGGGGAGGGAAATTTAGTTTCTTTAGGTCACTTACACAGATATTGAGCATAGTCAAATTTTGCAATACAACCTAGATATTATAATTCGTGATCATCTTGAATGAATCTTTACAAATTTGAAGAAATGAAGTTAGAATAGAGTTGTGGTGGGTGAATGTTTAATAAGATAGCATTTTACTGATCCTAGGAATATCACTGCAAGAGATGATATTGTTTATGTATATCACCTCTAACTATCCTTCCTTCAATGGCCATTGTTTAAACTATACAGAATCTTATAAAAAATAATTATGTTGAAAAAGAAAATTCTTTTCTGGATTTTAAATATAGACGTAACCTAAATGTTTGTAAACCCATAATATGCTGACATAAAAAAAATAAATAAATACAGAGATAAATCAAACACTCCTAAAATAAGTAGAGATTTGAGATTGTTTAAATTAGAAAAGGAACAAGAAAAATTATAAGTGGCTTTAAACAAATAAAATAGAAATACAGGAGGTTTTCCAGATGACTATTTTAACTCCTGACTCTATAGTCAATTACAGTAAAGAAGAAAAACAAAACTTTGAAAATACAAAGTCAAGACTTACCTAAATAGTGATTGATAACTTTCAAGGTTTACTCAAGAAGTGCTTGTAGAAGGAATTTATTAAATTTATTTAAATCAACCTGATTATATTTATTTACTTGTGTATTTCATTTATTTTTCTTTTGAGAAATTGCATGCTCACTATGTACTAGATACTTTTCTAGGTACTGAAGAAGCTTCTATTCTAGTATAAAAGTAACTACAAGGGAAAATAAATGTAAAATAAAATTTGATGTAGCTTGTTATAATGTCTACAACTTTTAAAAGTTGGAATGGAAGTGTGCTATTAGTTATATATGTTCTGGCTTGTTTGAGCCCTAACTCTAGGGTCAGTTAATTGCTGAAGCTGAAAAATTATACTCCAGAAACTGTCAGAAAGGCAGAAGAATTACTCAAGGGGTTTGTTATTGATACCTTCAGATTTGGTAATGACCCTGAAGGATTATTACTAAAGTACTTTTATGAATAAAATGAAAACTATTCAAGATGTCTGGACTGGTTGTAATATTTAAGAGACACACTCACATTTGTATACTTGGTATAAGAATCCAGCTAAACTTGTATCCTCTTAGAGATAGAGCCAAAGACTTGATCTCAAAATGGTGTTTGCTCTAGTCACTGAATGAGTGGATTTCTAGTTGCCTCATGCCAGCAGTAAGAGGAATAACATTTTGCCTAAAAATAGACATGTCTGCCTCAAATCAACCTTTAATAACCTAAAAGGTAGTTATCAGATTACCTAAAGGGACAGAGAGCTAAGGGGGAAGTTTATAAATGGTTTGTGTGCTTACTTGCCAGTAAATGTTTGTTTAATAAATCTTTAGATGAGTGGTAGAATTTAGTCTGAAAATTGCTTTCATTAAAATGCAATAGGAAGGTAATGGTGGAGTAGTCAGCCCCTCTCACCCTATAACTACTTTAGTGGCTATCATTATGGACCACAAAGAATGTAGACGTTTGTATGACAAAAGTCAGTTCAGGCAAGTTAGTAAAAAGCAGTGAATTATCATAAAAAATATAAAGTATGGGATATGGTTAGAGTGACTATAGTGTATCTGGGGAAGTGATTTTATAATGCAGTTACGGAAGTCTTCACCGAGAAAATGGCATTTGAACAGAAAGCTGAATAAAGTCAGGACTTGGGACATGGAGATTCTGGAAACAGAACTCTAAGCAGAGAGAACAGCAAGTTCAAAGGTCTTGAGATGTGAAAAGTTGTGCATGTTCAAGAAACATTGAGAAAACCAGAGAGTCTGGACAGAGCGAGTGACAAGAAGAACATTAAGGGAATAGGTCAGAGAAATAAACATGGGTCCGATCACATACAGCCTTTGTTGCCATTAAGCTTGCTTTTATTTTACGTAAACAGCAGACTATTGGAGGGCTCTGAGCAGGGAAGTCGTCTTATCTAACTTACATTTTAAAATTAGCACTCTGGTAGTTTCGTGCAGTGTAGGTTCTGCGCAGATAGTAAAAGCAGCAAAACCAGATAGGAACCTACTGCAGTAGAGTTGGCAAGGCGTGACAAAGGCTCCACATGTTGAAGTAAAGGAGGTAATAAGATTTGATCGCTTTGGGAATATGAGTTTAGGTAAAACCAACAGGAACTTAGGATATGAAAACAGTCGTAGAATATGAAAGAAAAAGACAATGAAAACTTGGAGTATTTTTGTAGCAATGCAGGTAATAATAACTTATCATTTGGGGACTATGTTTTTAGGTGAGGCCATCAGTACTAAATGTAGAATGTGAAAAAAAGAAAATAATGAAGCATGAAGGACTGAACTTCTGGCCATCGTGGTCTAAGAGGTTTGGGTCAATATTCCTGTTGACAGAAACTATAAAAACTAAAAATAAATAAAAAGGAAACAATGCTTTGAAGGAACTAGAGAAAAATCATACAGTGAAGAACTATGTAAAAAAAAATATCATCTAGTGAGGATCTCTCGAGATCTGGGAGAGAAGAGAAAACCAGAGGATTACGCCTAACTTTAAAAATCAAAACAAAACGAACAAAAAACCCCCACAATGCCTTTATTTCCTTAGTGCAGTTTTTGATTCACAGCAAAATTGAGAAGGCACAGAGATATCCCACATGCCCTTTGCCCTCACATATTCACATCCCCCACCAGAGTGGTTTGTCAAATAGATGAACCTACATTGACACTTTATTGTCACCCAAAGTCCACAGTTTACATTAGGGTTTACTCTTGTACATTCTGTGGGTTGGACAAATGTATAATTACATGTGTTCACTACTATAGTACCATACAAAGTAGTTGCACTGCCCTAAACCTCCCCTCTATTCCTCCTATTCATCCTTTTCCTAACTCTCCCTCCCTAGGTTAGTGAGTTTATTCTCGGCTTTAAGTATTTACTCTGTTTTTCTTGCTCATATGGTTTTGTGAGGAAATGTCAGATGCAATTTGTATCTTTGTTTCTCTATAGGTGAGGTGCTTTTTTCTTCTGGCTTCCTTTGGGATTTTTTTTTTTAACTTTCATTTTCTGTTGTTTAAAAATGGTATGCTTAGATGTAGCTTTTTTGGTAGTTATCCTGCTTGGTGTCCTCTGACCTTTCTGGATTTCTGGTTTGGTGTCTGACATTAATTTGGGGAAATTCTCAGTCATTATTGTTTCAAATATTCTTCCTTCCTTTCTTCCTCCTTCCCTTCCTTCCTTCCTTCCTTTTTGTTTTCTTCTGCTAGTCTCATTGGTGTGTGCTATGCTTTCTGCAGTTGTCTCACAGTCCTTGGCTATTTTATTCTGTTTGTATTTCTCAGCCTTATCTTCTTTGATTTTCAGTTTTAGTGGTTTTTATTGATTTATTCTCAAGGTCAGAAATTTTTTCCTCAGCTATATCCAACCTACTATTAAGCCATCACAGCCATCTTTCATCTTTCATTCCTATTACAGTGTGTTTGATCTCTAGCTTTTTATTTATTTATTTTTTGGTTCTTTCTTAGAATTTCCACCTTCTCTGCTTAAATTGTTCATCTGTTCTTGTATGCTGTCTATTTTATCCATTAAAGCCCTTAGCATGTTAGTAATAGTGGTTTTAAATCCTTGGTCTGATAATTCCAACATCCCTTCCATGTCTGGTTCTGACGATTGCTCTGTCTTTTCGAATTGTTTTTTGTGTTTTGTGGTGGTTTTTTTTTTTTTTGCCTTTCAGTAGGCCTTGCAATGTGTAGATGAAACTTCTATAAACAGGCCTTTAGTCACATGGTGGTGAGGTGTGGGGAGGCAAAGCATTCCATAGATTTATGATTAGGTCTCAGTCTTTCAGTGAGCCTGTGCCTCTGAACCATGAATTTCACAAGTCCCTCTTAATCCCTCAAACATTCCTCAATTCCCAAAGCAGCATGATAAAGCTTAAGGGGTTGAATAGAGCTTTGGACATATAGACT